AGCATAGTACCACATGGGCTTCATAACGCAAGGCGCCAAGCGGTGTGAACTCCACGTGTAGGCTTATGCATATCTTACAACCCATTACCAATCTGAACTGTATCTTGGATGGATGTGTTTTAATAAAGATCGTATCGGGCCCATCCAGGTACAGACCGATATTTCTAGGGAATGCTTGTACGGAGAATGGACATACTGCTAGGAGCTGGAAAATATGCTCTCCATAGAGAGCTCATGGGAAGGGGAGGAGATATGCTCTCCACAGAGGGCTCATGGGAAGGGGAGGAGATATGCTCTCCACATAGGGCTCATGGGAAGGGGAGGAAGTCTGCTGACCTCAGAAGGCTCATGGGGGAAGACCAGTGACAGATAATAGAAAAGGCCATGCTCCAATCGGAATGTATGTCCTGTGTATAGGCACTCCCCATTGCATTGTTCTGTGGGAGGGGTTTGACCTTATTCATGTGGGGGGGCGTGTGTGTATTTGTAATAAAACCAAAGGGGAGAATGAAAACTGCCCTTATGTGAATTCAACCATCAACCTGAAGGTGTCGTGTGATCATTTCCAGGTATAGGGAGCTCCAAACACCCACATTTCAAAAGAAGCTAAAGTAGTTGGATGGGCAGGAATCGTGTAGTTTAACTGCAGTCGTGGTAAGCGAGATTCACACAGCTTTATGGGGGATTTCTGCGCATCCAACTGCGAGTACTCACGGTAAGGAGAAATTCGTTAAAGCGAATTTCCAAGACAAGGTGTGATTTCAATTCGCAAACACTTACACCCCGGTTGCACCTAACCCGACTTTGAAATCCTGCGACTGACAGTGAAGTCGCGTGATTTCAAAGTCGGGTGACATGCCATTTCAGGTGCGAATTGCAAGACATCTGATACAGATGTCTATGCAAATCGCACCAAAAGTACTACTTTAGAAATCGGTGCGGCTCCAACCAAGTCGGAAACGCGCCGATATGACCGCTCTAAATATGGACAATAGGGTGCGACTTGGCATGTGATTTGCAAGTTGCATGGCATGCAAATCGCATGCCAATTCACATCCAGCGTGACCAGGGATTAAAGATTCCCTCTTTGTATGTACGTAGTTCCTCTAGTTCCACCAGTTCCTCCTGGTGCATATCCATGGAGAGGCACATAGACCTCTACAGGACAGACAATGGCGCCTTGACTGTCATTAGGTATCAGGATGAATTCCTTGGACCCAGTGTCAGACCCTACATTTTTTTCCCTAGTCATCTTTTCTGACTGCTTTTCACTAGTTTTGCATTTGGCTAAGGTCAGTGTCATTACTGGTAGCATGAGGCCATACCTGGACCCTACAGAGGTTGCACAGGCAGTCCAGCTCTTCCAGGATGGCACATCAATACATGCCATTGCCAGAAGGTTTGGTGTGTCTCCCAGCACAGTCTCAAGAGCATGGAGGAGATTCCAGGACACAGGCTGTTACTCTAGGAGAGCTGGTCAGGGCCGTAGAAGGTCCTTAACCCATCAGAAGGACTGGTATCTGCTCCTTTGTGCAACAAGGAACAGGATGAGCACTGCCAGAGTCCTACAAAATGACCTCCAGCAGGCCACTGGTGTGAATGTCTCTGACCAAACAATCAGAAATAGACTTCATGAGGGTGGCCTGAGGGCCCGACATCCTCTAGTGGGCCCTGTGCTCACTGCCCGGCACCATAGAGCTCGACTGGCATTTGCCATTGAACACCAGAATTGGCAGGTCCACCACTGGCACCCTGTGCTTTTCACAGATGAGAGCAGGTTCACCCTGAGCACGTGACAGACGTGAAAGGGTCTGGAGAAGCCACGGAGATCGTTCTGCTGCCTGTAACATGGTTCAGCATGACTGTTTTGGTGGTGGGTCAGTGATGGTCTGGGGAGGCATATCCATGGAGGGACGCACAGACCTTTACAGGCTAGACAATGGCACTGTAGCTGGCCAGCTAAGACCAGTTCTAGGTTGTTAATCTGGTTCACATATATGTGTATACCAAACCTGCCAATAACCTCAGTACAGTATATATGTGCATATGTTAAAGCCAAAAGCAGAATCATTGCTGTAATTTATGTCTTTGATTGTTATATGACATTTATATATTCATTGTGTTAGCAGAAGCAGAAAAGGAAAATATGCCTTTAAGAGTTAGTTAAAGGTGAGCCAATCACAGACAGCCTCACACTGTACAGAGCCTTAACCAATCCCAGCCAGTTTCACATCTATGCCTGTGTAAAACTCCCTGCTGGGATTTTCTAGAGACACATGCTCACCAGACAGAAGAGGAAACAGAGAAAGTTCCAATCAGAGAAGCTCCATGGAAGTAGAGAAGGCCAAATAGGTATTTAATGCACTTGTGTGTTCCTCTATTGTTTAACAGTGCAGGTAGATCTGTGTCTAAAAACTGTTGTATGTGTTTACTTGTAGTTCCACCGAACTTATGAATCAAGTCACTGTAGAGTAATCTAATGAATTTATAAATCCAAGTGAATTTATCAATCTATCGAAATATTGAACCTATCGAGATAAGCTATTGAATCAACCCAATGTAATACGAATTAAACCATTGTAATATGAAAGAAATAAGCCATTGTAAGCAGTTATATGAAGAAGATTGAAGTTATTAAAGAAGTTAACTAAAGTATTCGGTGTGCTCTTTAAACCTACTGCATCCATAGAGCGGCATTGGAGGAATTACAGAGTAAAGTCAGTCTAATCAAACAAAGAAACAGCAATTGCATAATTTTTCTAATGCCACAGCGCACTAGGCACCAAAGGGTGCTGCGCCTGCCACAGTGGAACTATTACCCTCAGAGGTCAAGCAGCAGCGCTCCTCAACTTGCACAGTAAAGAGTACACTAGAGAAACAGAGCGCCAACACATACCGCCACGCGGAGACACCTCAGCGGAACAGTACAGGCCATAGCACGTGCGCATTAGTCAGACTGCAGACGACTCTTAAAGTGGCATAACGGCAAACGCAAGACAGTCAGAGAAAGAGCGCCAAACCTCCTGCACCCCTAGAGAGAGAAAGAGATGCATGGGGGTGGGGCCAGAGTCCAGAGCTAGAGTGCCCGCACCGCTATCCATCAAGAGACCACGTGTTGCATCCAGAGAGTTCACGCAGAGCATCGCAAAGTCACCGCAGAGCATCGTATAGTCACCGCAGAGCATCGCAAAGTCACCGCAGAGCATCGTATAGTCACCGCAGAGCATCGCAAAGTCACCGCAGAGCATCGTATAGTCACCGCAGAGCATCGTAAAGTCACCACAGAGCATCGCAAGTCACCGCAGAGCATCGCAAGTCACCCTGACTGCCATTAGGTATCGGGATGAAATCCTTGGACCCATTGTCAGACCCTACACTGGTGCAGGGGGTCCTGGGTTCCTCCTGGTGCACGACAATGCCCGGCCTCATGTGGGGAGAGTATGCAGGCAGTTCCTGGAGGATGAAGGAATTGATACCAATGAACGGCCCCCACGCTCACCTGACCTAAATCCAATAGAACACCTCTGGGATGTCATGTTTCGGTCCGTCCGACGCCTCCAGGTTTCACCTCAGACTGTCCAGGAGGTCAGTGATGCCCTGGTCCAGATCTAGGAGGAAATCCCCCAGGACACCATCCGTCGTCTCATTAGGAGCCTCCCCCGACGTTGTCAGGCATGCATACAAGCACGTGGGGGCCATACAAACTACTGAGGACCATTCTGAGTTGCTGCAATGACATTTCAGCAAAATGGACTAGCCTGCTGCATCATTTCTTCACTTTGATTTTTGGGGTGTCTTTGAATTCAGTCCTCTGTAGGTCGATCATTTCCATCAAACGATGGGGCGTCCTTACGTTCCTCACACATTACCCCGTCCATATCAGTATAGAGATCCAGCAGGAGATGTCTCCCCATTCAGATCTGATGTGTTTTCAGAGCGTTCCTTTCATTTGTAGGAGCCGTGTATGAGATCCGAGTGCTTGGCACGGATCTCAGAAGCTGTTCTGGCCTTTTCCGTATGGCTATATTGTCGCTAGAGGGCGCTCATGCACCAGTCATTATGTCGGTGCTGTTTTTGCCTCTTTTTTTTTTTTCATGAATATTCTGCGGTTTGGACCTGAAAAGTTTTGGATCCGTTTTGTTTACTGCACTTCATAATTCATAATAGGGAACAGGTTTGAGGCAGCGTTGTGAGATATGATCTTTTCCCCCAATATTAAATCAGATTTGCGGGTTAGACACCTGACTGCGCTCTCCTGTGCGCGCTGCTAGCGTCCCTGTATGCTTAACCCCTACCGTGCTGGGATCAATTTAAATCCATCCTCCTTCAGCCTTGCACAGTTGTAGCGGCTCCTCTCCTGGACTGAAACAGCTTCCTCTGAATTCACTGCACACTGTGAGCTTCTCACAATGTGCATTAGAAGCTGCAACAAGTCAGAGAAAGCTCCGCCTCCTTTCCTGGCTGGAGGACGCCCAGCATCATTTAGCTCCTTTCATTCACTGGAATTCAGTTCTTTCAAACATGGATGTTCAGTATCTCCCAGGGTGGTCAGCATGCAAATACAGACATCCTAGGAACACCCCTTCCCCCCCCATCGAGACATTTCTGAAATTTGCATAACTCCTCCCACAGCTTGCATCAGGACTGAGAGTTCTTGCGAGGAGTACTGAGGAAGGGTGCTGTGATATTTTCAGGAAGCTGTATGCAGCACCCCACCAGCCCCTCCCACTAATCATGACCTGCCTGCATTGCATAGAGAAGAACAGAGGCCCAGTGATGATGTCATCCAATATAAATTAAAGTGTTACTAAACCCCGGACCCTGCATTCACTATATCCGGTCTCCCCGGACCCTGCATTCACTATATCCGCTCTCCCCGGACCCTGCATTCACTATATGTGGTCTCCCCGGACCCTGCATTCACTATATCCGGTCTCCCCGGACCCTGCATTCACTATATCCGGTCTCCCCGGACCCCGCATTCACTATATCCGGTCTCCCCGGACCCCGCATTCACTACATCTGGTCTCCCCGGACCCTGCATTCACTATATCCGGTCTCCCCGGACCCTGCATTCACTATATCCGGTCTTCCCGGACCCTGCATTCACTATATCCGGTCTCCCCGGACCCTGCATTCACTATATCTGGTCTCCCTTGACCCTGCATTCACTATATCCGGTCTCCCCGGACCCTGCATTCACTATATGTGGTCTCCCAGGACCCTGCATTCACTATATCTGGTCTTCCCAGGAGTCTCCTCTCCCCTGAGTCTTCCCTCTCCTGAGTTTCCTCTCCCCTGAGTCCTCTCCCCTGAGTTTCCCCTCCCTGAGTCTCCCTCCCCTGAGTCTCCCTCCCCTGAGTCTCCCCTCTCCTGAGTCTCCCCTCCCCTGAGTCTCCCCTCCCCTGAGTCTCCCTCCCCTGAGTCACCTCTCCCCTGAGTCACCTCTCCCCTGAGTCTCCTCTCTCCTGAGTCACCTCTCCCCTGAGTCACCTCTCCCCTGAGTCTCCTCTCTCCTGAGTCACCTCTCTCCTGAGTCTCCTCTCCCCTATTGATCAGATTGCCACATTAGAACTTTGTAGCAAGTCACTAGAAGTAAGGCTCCTGCAGAGGCTGATCTGCGTCAGCCATTTGTTAACACTGCCAAACATCTCAGTCCTGGAAGCAGAGGGTGACTCTGGATGATGCCTGAACACATATGGTTGCGTCCTCCTGGAGAGAAAAGCAAGGGAAGGCATTGTTGGGGGGGGGGGTTCTAGTAGTGGGAGGATGATATGTTTTAAAAAGTGAAAATGATCTATATGAAAACACACAGGATCTGATCCGATATCCAGTATGGAGCTTGCAGGAACATCGCTGTGCTGTGTATACCGGAACCGAATTATAACCGAAACCATTTTTCATGCCTTGCATTTACATGGTCCCATGTTGACTCCCTCATTAAACGCCTGTTATAGATATCAAAAGACATCTGAATATTATTTGACGTGGCGCGCTGCCTGCTCTTCTCATTTCTTGCTTTTTCTAACTTTTTTTTCAAAAGCCGAGTCGTGGGGCCGAGTACAAACTTCGCTCTTCTAAACCTGCTGCGTGGTTTGTTTTCTGATCGCCACCTGGAGAGATCTGACCGCGCATAGCGCATCAATGGCGGCAAAATCGTGTCATTTTATTCTGACAACCACTTCACGTGCCCACCGGAAGATTTACCCCCTCCCCCCCCCTTCCCGACCAGGCCATTTGTTGCGATACGGCGCTGCGTTACTTTAACTGACAATTGCGCGGTCATGCAACGCTGCACATAAATTAAATGTATGTCCTTTTTCTTCCCCCAAATAGAGTTTTCTTTCTTTTGGTGGTATTTGATCACCTATGCGATTTTTTTACTTTTTACGTTATAAACAAAAAAAACTATTTAGAAAAAAAAAAAACGTTTTTTTATATTCTACTATAAATATATCCAATTAAAAAAAAAGTAAATATCAAATGTCTTCACAAAATGTATCATTTTGGCCTACAAACGCTAAAGTACGCAAACACAAAAAACACAGCAAATCACCACTAAATGTTAATACAAAACCACTAAAAAATGCTGAAAAATTTACATTGTTAATGTGACTTCACACAGCTGTTACCAGCGTTATTAACCATTTGCTGCCGCCCTATGGCTGAATGGCGGCCGGCAAATGTCATCAGCATTCCGGGTGGACACCATATGGCGTCCCTCCGCACATGCGCAGATTGCGCTCCTGCAGAGCCGCGCAGCGGCGCGATCTGTCTCCAGCAGTGTACCTCGGACACGGCCGATGACAGATCTGAGTACCGGCCTCTGTTGCCAGTACCAAGTGACCTGCTGAGACCAATCACAGCAGGTCACATGACAGTTGTATACAATGGATGGCTTCATTCATGCCATCCATTGTATACTAGTGTCTAGCTGTGAATGTGTCAGCTAATCACATGTGAATGGTGGCCAAAATCACAGCTAACAAAAAAAAAAAAAAAAAAAAAAAAAATTGAATCGATGTCATTCAGGTAAATGCTTGCTTATAGCAAAGTAATTCTTTGCTATAAGCAAATTGTGTAAAAAAAAAAAAACAAAATACTGATCACTTCCCCAAAGTAGTACAATGTTACTATGGTAACATTGTACTACTTTGGTCATAGTGAAATATGAAAAGAAAATCTTAAAAATAAGAAAAAAATGTAATTAAAAATAATAAAAGAAATAAAAAAAAAATATATATATATTTTTTTTTTCATACTGTCACCAGTCAGTGTCCCTGATCACCGCCATGCCAGTTATATGATGATGCTGTACTGCACTGGTGACAATATATAAAAAAAAAAATAATGAAATTAACTTTTTAAATTTTTTCATTTTCCGAAAAATTATGACAAAAAAAATACAACTTCAAAAAACTCGCCATTCCTCTTATGAAGTACGTTGGACTGTCTACTCTGCAAAAAGGGGTCATTTGGGGGATATCTGTACTGTTCTGACATTTGGGGGATATCTGTACTGTTCTGACATTTGGGGGATATCTGTACTGTTCTGACATTTGGGGGATATCTGTACTGTTCTGACATTTGGGGGATATCTGTATGTCTGACTTTGGGGGATATCTGTACTGTTCTGACATTTGGGGGATATCTGTACTGTTCTGACATTTGGGGGATATCTGTACTGTCCTGACATTTGGGGGATATCTGTACTGTTCTGACATTTGGGGGATATCTGTACTGTTCCTGACATTTGGGGGATATCTGTACTGTTCTGACATTTGGGGGATATCTGTACTGTTCTGACATTTGGGGGATATCTGTACTGTGCTGACATTTGGGGGATATCTGTACTGTTCTGACATTTGGGGGATATCTGTACTGTCTGACATTTGGGGGATATCTGTACTGTCCTGACATTTGGGGGATATCTGTACTGTTCTGACATTTGGGGGATATCTGTACTGTTCTGACATTTGGGGGATGTCCGTACTGTCCTGACATTTTGGGGATATCTGTACTGTTCTGACATTCTTGGACCTCAAGAAATTAGATTGGCTGTCAGTACTTCAGGATTGATCAATACTCAGATCTATCCATAGTTTGTGAACTCTATAACTTTCCTACAGACTAAATAATACATACTAATTTGGGTTATTTTCTCAAAGACATGTAGCAGAATACATCTCGGCCTAAATTTATGAAGAACAATTATTTATTTGTAAACTTTTATAACAAAAACAAAGAAAAACGTGTTTTTTTTTCAAAATTTTTGGCCTTTTTTTGTTAATTTAGCAAAAAATAAAAAACCCCAGCGGTGATTAAATACCACCAAAAGAAAGCTCTAGTTGTGTGAAGAAAATGATAAAATTTTAGTTTGGGTACAATGTTGTATGACCGCGCAATTGTCATTCAAAGTGTGAGAGCGCTGAAACCTGAAAACTGGCCTGGGCAGGAAGGTGTAAAATTGCCCGGTATTGAATTGGTTTAAATCGCCCCGTGTGCATGGATCCTAAGTCGCCGTGTCACACCACTGCTATTTAAAATAGCGCCATTTGGGTGCAATTTCATCGCGATTTCTGAGGACTTTATTGTTTTTTTCTTTTAGTGGTATTTGATCACCTCTGCAATTTTTTTACTTTTTACGTTATAAACGGAAAAAAAATTTTTAAAAAAAAAACCTTTTTTATATTCTACTATAAAAAAAAACCTTTTAAAAATCAAATGTCTTCACAAAATGTTCATTTTGGCTACAAACGCTAAAGTACTACAAAAATAAATACCACTAAATGCTAAAAACAAAAAATAGTGAAAAATTTAAATTTTTAATGTGACTTCACAAACCAGCGTTATTAAATCGCCCCGTGTGCATGGATCCTAAGTCGCCGGTCACACAACCGCTATTTAAAATCGCACGATTTGGGTGCAATTTCATTGCGATTTCTGAAGGACTTTATTGTTTTCTTTTTAGGTGGTATTTGATCACTTCTGCGATTTTTTTACTTTTTACGTTATAAAAAAAAAAACTATTTAGAAAAAAAACAAACTTTTTTTTAGTAAAAAATCAAATGTCTTCACAAAATGTATCATTTTGGCCTACATTTTTTTTTGATTTTTTAAAATTTTTTCTTACTGGATATATTTATAGTAGAAAATTTTTGACACATTTTTTTTTTTTTTGCCAAAAATATGTATTTTTGTCAAAATAAAAAATCCCAGTAAGTGTGAACTGATTAGTTTGCGCAAAAGTTATTGTGTCTACAAACCCTGGGACAGATACTGGAATTTTTCAAATTGATAATCTTTTTTTTATACTAGTAATGACGGCCATCGGCGACTTATAGCGGGACTGCGATATTGCGGCGGACATTTTTGCACTAACTGACACTTTGTGGGAACCAGTGACACTGAGTCCTCATTAGTGGCGTCCTAAGGCAGGTGCGGGGGGTGCGCACCGCACTGGGTGACACCTATCGCACGGGGTGACACTGGACGAAAAGGTAAGTTGTCAAGCAAGCCGACAATCCCCGCAGGATGGATGGGATCTGCAGATTGAGCATAATGGATTGGTGTCACCCGGTGCGATAACACTTGGTGACACCCCCTCCGACAAATCCCCGCAGGACAGGGGCGGACTGACCATTTGGAACCTCGGGCACTGCCCGAGGGCCCGGGGTCAGTAGGGGCCCCATAAGATGCCCCTGGTACCTTTTTCATAGGCTTTTTTGAGTTTGGGCAAGGGCACAGGGGCCTCATGATCACCTATTGCCTGGGGGCCCAATGAGTTGTCACTCCGCCCCTGCCGCAGGATGGATCGGATCTGCTGATTGAGCATAATGGATTGGACTCCGATCCATTATGCTCCCCAATCCGCAGATCCGATCCATTCTGCGGGGATTGTTGGTTTTCTTTACAACTTACCTTTTCATGGAGCGGGTCCGGTGTCACCCTGTATAGGTTGCATGCTGACGATCCCTGCAGGATGGATGGGATCTGCAGATTGAGCATAATGGATTGGTGTCACCCGGTGCGGTAAAACTTGGTGACACCCCCTCCGACGATCCCCGCAGGACAGGGGCGGACTGACCATTTGGAAACTTGGGTGCTGCCCAAGGGCCCGGGGTCAGTAGGGGGCCCCATGAGATGCCCCTGGTACCTTTTTCATAGGCTTTTTTTGAGTTTGGGCAAGGACACAGGGGCCCTATGATCCCATATTGCCCGGGGGCCCCATGAGTTTTCACTCTGCCCCTGCCGCAGGATGGATGGGATCTGCGGATTGAGCATAATGGATTGGTGTCACCCGGTGCGGTAACACTTGGTGACACCCCCTCCGACGATCCCCATAGGACAGGGGTGGACTGACCATTTGGAAAACTCGGGCACTGCCTGAGGGCCCGGGGTCAGTAGGGACCCCATAAGATGCCCCTGGTACCTTTTTCATAGGCTTTTTTGAGTTTGGGCAAGGACATAGGGGCCCCATGATCCCCTATTGCCCGGGGGCC